GCTCCGTCATGTACACGGCGGAGACCCTCTCCAAGGGCAAGAACCGCGTCATGGGGGTGAGATTTGGGGGGGCACGGGACGGGGGGCTCGGGACGGGGAACCCCTGGAAAAACCCCCCTCACCCCGTTCCCGGGGGATTCCCGTCCTCCCGCCGATCCCTCGGGGGACGCTGTGGGATCGAGGCGCCCCCGCGGCCGGCGCGGCACTGGAGGAAGGGGGGCGGTGGTGAGTTGACCTCATTCCCGTCCATCCCGGTCCCCGCAGACCATCCAGATCATGACGGGATTCCTGCACATCGGCTTCGGGATCGTCCTGACCACGCTCACCAACCTCTACACCTCAGTGTTCGTCATCGGAGAGATCCCGTTCCTGGGCGGCGTGTCGGTGAGCGCAGGGCAGCGGCAACGGTCCTGCCGGGAAGGGATCCCGCAGGGAAAGGATGCCCAGAGGGGAAGGAGTGCCCACCCTCCAGGAGGGGTATCTGCTGGAAAAGTTTGCCCACCGAGGAATTGATGCCCACCAGGGAGCGATGCCCACAGGGAAGGGAATCCCGCCAGAGAGGGATACCTACCAGGAAAGATGCCCACCAGGAATGACGCCCGCTAGGAAGGGAATCCCACCAGGGAAGGATGGGTACCAGGGAATGATGTCCACAAGGAAGAGAATCCTGCCAGGGAATGATGTCCACAGGGATGGGAAGCCCACGGGGAAGGATGCCCACCAGGAGCAATGCCCAGCAGGGAATGATGCCCACAAGGAACAGCATCCTGCCAGGGAATGATGCCCATCAGGAAGGGAATCCCATCAGAGAAGGATACTCCCTGGGAAGGAAGGACACCCACCAGGGAATGATGCCCACCTAGGGCGGGAATCCCACCAGGAATGATCCCCCCTGGGCTCCCGGGGCTCCAGCCACTCCATCCCTGGGCACAGGGAATTCTGCCCCCCCAACTCCCAACCCAGGGGGGTGTCCCCGGGCAGCTCTGGGGGTGCTCCTGACCCCCCTGTCCCCCCCCAGTTCATCATCTCCGGCTGCCTCTCCATCCTGACCTCTCCTTCCGCCCCCCAGTTGCATCATCTGCCCGGCTGCCTCTCCATCGGCGCCGAGAAGAGCCCCACGGAATGCGCGGTGAGTGCCGCCGGGAACGGGCCAGGATGTCCCTCCTGGATCTTTGGGGGGGGGTCTCCCGCCCCCCTGAACCCCCCCCGGGCCCCCTGAGAGCCCCTGGTGCCCGCAGGTGAAGGGCAGCCAGACCATGAACGTCATCAGCGCCATCTTCGCCCTGCTGGGCATCGTGGCCTTCATCGTCGACCTCAACCTCAACGTGCTCTACCACTCCAACCTTGACTACCACGGATACCTCGTCCTGGTAATCCCACTTTCAGGAATTCCCGCCCTCGGGAGAACCCCCCCGGAGTGTCCTCCGCCCCTCAGAGGGGCGCCGTGGCCCCCCCCAAAGGCGCTTTTGGGGTGGGGGTTTGGCGCGTCTGCCGGCGTTGACCTATTTCAGGTCGGTCCCTCGGGAGATGACTCACCCTTTGGAAGCATCTGCGAGCCGGAAAAACGGCGGGATCAGAGTGCTCACAGAGCCGGGAGTGCGGCGGGAAGAGGAGGGGGGAGCCCCAAAGCGCGGCGTGGGGTGGGATTCTTCCTCCTGGGCGCTTCCCAGGGAGGTGCTGATGGGGTTTTCCCCCCACCCTGGAGCTCGCAGGGAACGGGATTTCCATTGTGCTCCTCATCTTCACCGTCCTGGAATTCTGCATCGCCGTGGCCACTGCCAACTTCTGGTGCCGGGCCACCCGGCTCAGCTCCAACGAGGTAAGGAAGGGGATGAAGGGGGGAGGCTGGGATGGAACCCCCTGAAGCTCTTCCCTGTTATCCTGGCGTATCCCATGATCCTGGTTTCTCCCAGTCCATGCTGATCGTCCCCAGTGCCACCCGTGTGGACCTGGCCGTGCCGCCGGCGGAGCTGCCACAGCCACCCAGCTACACCGAGGTGATTCCCCATCCCAAGGAATATCTGGGATAGGGGCGCAGTCGGGATTGGGATGGCCCTCCCCAGCCCGGAGCAGCATCCGATCCCTTCCTGTGTGACAGACCCCATCCCGCTGCCCTGGGAAAACACCCCATTCCCAGAGAGCATCCTGGAGCATCCACCTCTCTGCTCCGGGAACGGGGGAGGAGATCCCAAAATCTCGCTGAGGGGTCACCCCAAATCCTTCCCCCTTCCCAAAGCTTGCTCTCCTTCCAGCTGGCTGCTCCTGAAGTCTGACACCGGAATGGGATCCTGCCTCCATCGCTCCCAAATCCAGGGCTACGGCATCGTCTTCCCGCTGGGATACGCTGGTCCCACCCCTCCAAAAGCCAGCGAGCCCCTCCCCAAATTCCCACTCTCCTGCCCATCCATCTGCCCCCGTGCCTGGTCTGAGGGGCATTCCTTGCTGGCTGCTTTGGGAAGGGGCTTCTCCGTGCGGGACTCTTGCGGAATTCCCGCCCGTAAATCCCCAGTGGGATTCTGGGATTCACTCGTGTCAGGATTCAGGACTTCCCGGGGTTCCGGTGGCTTGGAGCAATCCCGACGTGTGGATCCACCGGACCGTCTACCTCGGCTTGTCCCGCGTTGGCTTGGTTTTATCTTGGGAATAAACGCTCGGTCCGGGCTTGTGGCTCCTGAATTTGGGAATTTTCAGCGTGGGAGTTACAATTTCACACTCCCCCAGACCTGCTCTCCGTCAGGAAAAGGGCTCATCCCACCTGGTTTAGGGATACCTGCTCTCTCCCATGGGAATTCTGCCCCCCTAAGCCCCTGCTACCTGTTCTGTTTCCCAAGGGAATCTGCCCCGCTCTAAACCCCTGGGATTTGTTCTCTCCTGGGATTTGTTCCATCCCCTTAAACCCCTGGCACCCACTCCCAAGGGATTTTTGTCCCTGTGAACCTCCAGTGCCTTCTCTCCTGAGGTAATTCCATCCCCCTTAACCCCTGGCACCTGCTCCTGAGGGATTCTTCTCCCCCTAAACCCCCAGTGCCTGCTCCCGAGTCCCTTTAAGTCCCTCATACCCCTCTCTCCTGAGGCAAATCTCTCCATTCCCCCCAAACCCCTGGGCACCTGATCCCGAGGGAATTTTGTCTCCCTAAATCCCCAGTGCCTGGTCTCCTGAGGGAATTCTGCCCCACTAAGCCCCTCTCCTGAGGGAATTCCACCCCTCTCACCCCCCCATACCTGGTCCCCTGAAGGAATTCCACCCCTCAAGCCCCTGGTACCTGATCCTGAGGGAATTCTGCCCCCCTAATGCCCTCTCTTCATGGAATTCCACCTCCTAAACCTGGGTACCTGCACTCCTGGGGGAATTCTGCCTCCCTAAACTCCTGCTACCTGTTCCCTCTCCCAGTGGAATTCTGTCCCCCCTAAACCCCTGGTAGTTGCTCCCAAGGGAATTCTCCCCCCCTTAACTCCCAGGACCTGCTCTTTCTCCCGAGGGAATCCCACCCCCCCTAACCCCCGGCACCTCATCCTGAGGGAATTCTGCCCCCATAAACCCCTCTCTGCATGGAATTCCGCCCCCCTAAACCAGGCTACCTGCTCTCCTGAGGGAATTCTGCCCCCAGACCCCCCCCCCACGCTCCGGCTCCGCTATTTTTAGCCGGGTCGGAGCAGCCGGAGCGCCGGCAGTGACGCCAGCACATCCCAGCACATCCCGCTTTTTCCGCCGCTGAAGAAGCTGCCCTCGGGGCTTGAGCTGCTCCTCAGGGTGACACGGGGACACTGGCAACATGTGCTCCCCGTTCCCACATTCCATGGGGCGGGAATGGAGCGGAGGGATCCGAGGGGCTGCGACCCCTCCAAGATCCCTCAGTTTTGGGGTCAGGAATCGGAGCCAAAGGGCTCCAGGATCATTTTGTCGGCTCCTGACGAGCTCGTTACGGATCCACCCTTAATTATCCTGCACCCACAGGGATGCCTGGGGACCTAACGAGCATCCCAGTGGCATCGAGTTACTTAAGGAGCATCCCAAACTCCTGGAAAGCCAGGATGGAGACCCCAGTGCCAATTTTCCAAGGGGTGGGAGCATCCCGGTGACTTCTCAGTGCCCTGTGGGGGGGATCCCCTTACTTTTGGGGACAGGATCCATCCCAAATCTCCCCAGAGCAGGATCAGTGATGTCCTCCTCGAACATTCCCTTTGGTTTTCGGGTGTTTTCCTTGTTTTTCCCACCCTCCCTGATGCTCTGGCTGCTCAGCCAAAGCCTCATGGATTATTCACTCCCTGTCTGTTATTTCTGGGCCCAGCTCTGAAAAAATAATGAGCCTGATCAGTAGGAAAAGCCCCAGGGATTTTGGGAATGGGATGAACAGGTTGTGTCTACTCACCCCATGTCCACAATCCATTACTGCTCCGGAGCATCCCAGCCTCTCCCAGCTCCACAGGGACCACCAGGAAGCCATTCCAACCCTCAGCCAAGCTGGTGGATCCATCTGTGTTTTCCCAGGGTGGCAGCTTCCCAGGAAAGAGGCTGGTAATCGTCCTCTCCCTCCTCGGGATCAGAGTCAGTTTTCCCAGAGTATCCTGGTGTTCAGGTGCAGCTGTCCCTGAAAATGTTGGAGTGTTTAAAGTTCCATGGAAAAGGGGGGGGTTTTAATATATCTCTATTTTTAGGTGGGAATTTGCAGCCCTGGGGGGGAGGTTGGCAGTTTTCCTTATGGATTTGATCCCAAGCTCCATGAGTGTCCCTCATGGTGACGGTGCCACCCCCTGCTCCGTATCCTCGTGGGATAATAAAGGGATAATAAAGGCTGAGAGCTGCTCCCAGGCTGCATCCATGGGCTTTCCACCTGGGAGATCCCTAAGGAAAGGCAAAACTCCATGGAGGAGCCAGGGAGCAGCCGTGAGATGGGCTGGGGGGGTCCCAATGGCTCTGTGTTCCCTGGAAAAGAGAAGGATCCAGGGAGACCTTGGAACACTTTCCAGTGCCTAAAGCAGCTCCAAGAGAGCTGGAGAGGGACTTTGGAAAAGGGATGGAGCGACAGGGCATTGGGAATGGTTTCCCACTGCCAGAGGGTGGGAATATTGGGAAGAAATTCTTCCCTGTGAGGGCGGTGAGACCCTGGAACGGATTTTCCAGGGAAGCTGTGGCTGCCCCATCCATGGAAGTGCCCCATCCAAGTGGAAGGTGTCAGAGTGGGAACAAGGTGGGATTTAACATCCAGGATTGTCAGTGGGAGCCGGTGCCAGGGAAACCTTGGAGATGCGCCAGAGCTTTTCCGCAGGATCTGGAGTTTTACTGGGAGCAAGTGGATCAAAGGCTGGAATGTCACGTGAGGGGGTGACAGACACATCTGGGACAGGGTTTGGGAGCGATGTCCCGGTGTCCCAAACGCCAGGGTAGGGATAACCCCAACCTTCCCCCCCGCTCCCAGCTCCGGATTCCCTAATCCGGGATGGACACAGCGGGGTTTAACACCCTCGGAGGAGGCTCCTCCAGGGAATTGTGGAGACAACACAGGCGACATTCCTGGGATGACATACCTGGTGTGTTCGCAGTGGCACCTGTGCTGTGATTCCTGGGAATGCCACATGGATAAAAGCCAAAAAAAATCCTGTGATTCATCCCAGGAAACAGGACTTTCCTTCCAGAATTGCCATGGAAACAGCCCTGTGGGAAGCAGGAACACCTGGAAGCAAAGCAAAATGTTGACTTTTGGTATTTTTATGGGGATATAAAGTTTGTCCCAGGAAGCAGCAACCTTCTCTGGAAGGAATTTCTCCATCACAATCTATTTTCTTTGGAAAAAAACCCACGGCTTTTTGGGTTGGAAAAGGGATTTTGGTTCCACCAGGCTTGTAAATTTATCCCGGTGGGAAGGGACTTGGGGGGGGTCTTGCTGATCCCTCCTGAGTCTGAGCATCCAGCCAGGCTTCCCCCATCCATAATTTCCCCTGGAGAACAGGAAAATTAACATTAAAATCCAAGGAATGTATTGTATATATCAACAAAGCTCAGAATTCCTGCAAATAACGGGCTGGAAAACTCCACTGCTTCCCTGCATCTGCTTCAAAGCTTCATCTCCTCTGGAATCTGCTCCCAGGACAAATCCTGACATCCTTCCTTGGGCTCCAGTCTGGACCTGGGTTTATTTTGGAAGGGGAAAAGCCCTTTTTCCATGGATAACTTGCTCGGAAAGGGGTTGTTTTGGGGGCCGAGGGCAGTCTCCGGCTGAAAGGCTGGAATTGCAGGAATGCTGCAGGATTTGGAAGGAAATCCACCGTGTAGGGTGGTTTTGGCTGGGAATTTGAGCCCTGGATATGCTGGAGGATAAAGAGGGGATCCCAGAATTTCCACGGGGGGCTCAAGTGTTCCTGGAACGAAATCCCTGGGATTTTGTTAGGATTGGGGCTTTGAGAGGGAGAGGGAGCAGCAGGAATTAAAGGCTCTGAGGCACCAGGATTGCGCTGAAGGGGTTGAATCTCATCCATGTCCATGTTTTTCCTGGAAAGCTGTGCCGCCAGATGCGGCCCTTTACGAGGCCAAGTGCTTCCACCAGGGATGTGGGATGGAGGAAGGTCACGGATTGGATGGAAACGCGGGTCACTTCGTTGCTCTTTGCTTTCCAGGTCTGTCGTTCCAGGTCTTTTCTGGGATCTGATTCAGGCTGGGTTTGGGGGTGTATCCCATTCACTGAATCCTGCAATGGTTTGGGTTGGGAGGGACCTTAAGGATCATCCAGTTCCAACACCCTGCCACGGGAAGGGACACCTTCCATTGGATCGGGTTTGCTCCAAGCCCCGTCCAACCTGGCTCCAGGGCTGGAAGCCTCTCCTGAGCTCTGGAATGCTGTGCTTCCAAACCCGGCCTCTCAGCTCCCTCTAGGGCCAAAAGGAAGGAAAAAACACTTCCAGAAGTTGCTCCACCTGCTCCTAAAATCCTCAGCTGGAGGGTCCTGCCCCTTCCCGGGTGGTGGCAAACCAAGCTCGGAGACGCCGGAATCCTAGACCTAAAAATTCCTGTTCCATCAAGAAATTCCTGCCCTGCACCCACCGAACACCCAGGAAACCTGGGGAGGATCCCAATCCTCCTGGAAAATAGGACATGGCTGTTTTCTGGGAAGAAGGGGCCTCCGAATCCCTCGGGATCCCCTCTCCATGTGTGGTGGCTCCATTCCCAGCCTGAGCTCTCATTTCCCATCATAAACAATGGGATCTCCTTTCCGGAGCCGGCTGGGAACCCCACAGATCCCTCCCGGGTGCGCCCCTGTTGGGAACAAATCCTCAGGGATGGAGAAAGGAGAACCCCCAAAAATGGCCACAAAGGAGCTTCCCGGGTACCTAACGGGGTTTATAAAGTTCTTTGGCTCAATCCTTGTTTTTCCTGGGAAATGGGTAGGACTGGCTGGCTCATTATTGGCCCTAATTAGCATCTCATTAGGAGCCAGGCTAACTGCAGAGATGATTCCCGAGAAAAGCATCCACAATTTGGGATGGAAAGGACTCACTCAATGCCAGGAAAGGGGGGTCTCCTCTGGGAGCATCCCATGGGATAAACACCCAACCCTTCCCTAAGCTGCCAAAAAATCAACCCACCTTGGCTTCCCAAATTCCCTCTCCCCGTGCAGGATTTCGGGAGCCTCCGTTGGCAAAGCCGCCCCGTTGAGCAAGAGGGGCCTGACGAGAATTCCAGGCCGGAGCTTCCCGCAGGGAGCAAAGGGCAGCGGGAGCGTGGCCCTGCCTGCCCAACCCCTCCCGGGGATTTTGGGACAGTGGAGGGAGGAGGAGGAGGGACAAGAGGATACCTGGGTGTCCCTCGAGCTTCCTGGGCTCCTTCCTGGGCCATGGCGGCCACCACGGTGACGGAATCCAGTGGCGTGAGGATCATCACGGAGGTGATCCCGGCCACGGATCCGCGGGCGGCACAGCTGGCGTTGGGATCCGGGGAAGCTGCGCCTGCCAGGACATCGCTCCCAGTCCAAGGCTTCCGGAGGGCTCATCCCAAGGTGTTGGGGGTGAGACACGGCGTTCCTGGGGATCGGGGATCCACGGGGATTGTCCTGCTGGAGGTGCTCTGCCCGTCCCCAGTCCCTTCCCGGGGTGGGATACAGCTCAAAACAATGGGATTGGGATCCCTCTCCCTCCATCCTTCCCCAGACCATCCACATCTTCACCGGGATCATCCACATCTTATTCGGGATCATCCTGACAGCGTCGGAGCATGGAAACCCTTCCCTGCCTGTGGCCAGCGGGATCTTCTTCTGGCTCGGGGTCCTGGTAAGCTGGGATGAACACCTGGGAATCTCGGGGAATTCCAGAGGTTTGGGGGCAATATTCCCTGGACTCCAGGTCTCCTCTGACCCCTCCCGCCTGTGTTCGTGCATCCCTAAACCCCAATTCCCACCAGGGTGACAGGGAGTGGTACCTGTTTCCTGACTCCCCCATTCCCGCTGTTTTCCGAGCAGCTCCTGGCCTCGGGATCTTTGCTAGTTGAAAGTGAAAAGAGAGACAACCTTGTGCTGGTAAGACCCAGGCTGGGAGGGATAATTGGGATAACGTGTTCCCCCCCATTCCTTATGTCCCTTCCAGGGGCTGCTGGGATCCCTCCACAGCCTGGATTCATCCCATGGGATCCACAGGCAGGTCTCCCCATAGGGAAGTGCCCAGCGCTTCCTATCTGGAGCACAGGATGGGGTTCAGGGCCTCCAGGAGACGCCGGGGGCCTTGTGGAGTCACTGTGGGATGAGGGGGAGTACAGGTCCAGGAGACCCTCGAGGCCTTTCGCAGTCACTGTGGGATGACGGGGACAAGTCCAGGAAATCCTCGGGGCCTTTTGGAGCCACTCTGGGATTAGAGGGACAAAAGGTCCAGGAGACCTTCTGGGCCTTTTGGAGTCACTGTGGGATCAGGGGGCGAAAAACAGGTCCAGGCCATCCTTGGAGCCTCCAGGAAATCACTTTGGCACGAGGAGGACAAAAGGTCCGGGTGACCCTCAGGGTCTTTGGGAACCGGCTCCGGGATCGCAGGGACGAAAAGTTCCAGGAGATCCCTTGTCCCCCTTCCCGGGGCTCCACGTCACCGCGCCCGGGTGACCCCACAGGTGCGGACCTGCTGCGTGCTCAACGCGGGCGTCGCCCTCGGGGCGCTGGTGGCCACCGCGGTGCACGGCACGGCCATCACGCGGCTCCCGCCTGGCTGCGAGCGCCGCTGGCCCCTCCACATCCCACCGAATGGTGCCTCAGCGCCCACAGCAAGGTACCCACACCGGCCCTCGGGCACGGGGCTCCGGGAGGGATGGACGAGCCTCCTGGTCCTGCTCAGGTGGGGTGTCCAGGGATCCTGGTCCTGCTCAGGTGGTGGGTTGGAACCTCCTGATCCCACTCGGGTGAGGTGTCCAAGGCTTCTGGTCCCGGCTCGGTTGGGATGGAGGCTCCAGGTGGGGTGTCCGAGGCTCCTGGGTCCAGCTCAGGACCAGAACCTCCTGCTCCCGCGGTCGGGCGGAGGATCCCAGCGCTGCTCCAGGACCTTCCTGCTCTCTCCCCATCCCGGCAGATCCTGAGCAACGGGCTGGATTCCACCTTCGTGCTCCTCAGCCTCCTGGAATTCTGCGTGGCCGTGGCGGCCCTGGCGTTCGGATACGAGGCCGCCCGGCAGCACAGCTACACCCACATGGTGAGGGGGGGATCGGGATGCACCCCCAGATTCCTTGGGAATCCCTGGAATGCTGGTCCCACCTCCTCCTTGGGACACCTTGGAGACATCTCTGTGCTCCCAAAAGCTGGTTTCCCAAGTTTTTCCTTTCCCAGGCGCTGTAGCGATGGACAACTCTCGCCCTCCGCCCTCCAAGGACCACCGGACCCCCCCCCCGGAGGTGCCGCATCCGCCGAGGCGGGGTCACCGGTAAACCGGGCCTCGGAGCTCCCTTGCCCAGGCCCCAGTGCACAAATAAAGGCCTCATCCCTCATCTCATCCCACGCGTGTCTCCGGGGGTCCCTAGGGGTGCGGGGGGGTCCTCGCCCCGGGTGGGGTCCCCCCCGGTGGATGCCCACGCTGCCCCACAACAAACATGGCGGCCGGCCCCACACAAAAACATGGCGGCCGCCGCCCTCAGCGCCGCGGGTTGCTGCCACCGATTACAAACATGGCGGCCGGGGAGCCCCGGCGGCTTCGGCTCTCGCTGCCCGCGAGCGCGCTTCTTAAGCGTCACTCCTCCCCGCGACGCCGGAACGGGCAACGTGGGCCATGGAGGGGAGAACGGCGGACCCGCGGGATCGGGATCGGGAGCCACCCCGAGGGGTCAGCGGGGCCGCCCCGCGCCCGCGGGCCGGCGCGGCGGGCGCGGGCGGAAAGGCGCAAGAAGCGGCAGGAGACGGTGCAGCCATTCCGGGGGCAGGCCCAAGGTCGGGAGGGTGTGGAAAGACCCCGGGAAGAAAAGGTGGGAGCGGGGGGGGGGGAAGCAGGAATTCGGGGGAGAAGGCGTTTTGAAGGGGCTCTAGTGTCCCCAGGCGCTGTTTTGGACGGGGGTATTGAGCTCGGTAGGGGGGTCTTCAGAGGGGGCAGGGTTTTTGGGGGGGGTCACTCATGGGGCCGTGCGGGGACTCCGGAGTTATCCCATGGGTATCCATAGGCTTAGGAAGGATCCAGAGGGGACAGGGACACTTTGGGGTGGTCCTGAACGGAGGGGTGGATTTGGAGGGGATGCTGAGGGGGGTTTCATGGAATTCTGACCTGAGGAGTTTCTGGAGAGGACCCGCGGCCGCATCCCGGGGTTTCTGGGGAGCAAACACATCCCGTGTGCCCGCCCAGGTTCTCCCACATGATCCAGGACAAGGCTCTCCGCACCTCCTGGGCCCGGAAGATGAAGGAGAGGCAGGAAAAGAAGCTGGTCCGGGATCTGGCCCGACAGCTGGAGGAAGGGAAGCGGAGGGAGCGAGAGGTAACGGGAGCTGGGAATTCCCACCTTTCCCATGCACAATCCCATGTCTCTGCCCTCATCCCAGCCTTTGGAGCTGTGGCTGATCCCAGTGCTGTGCCAAACCCCGGGAAAAGGGCGGCTGGGATGGTGAATTCCCTGTGCTGCTGCCAAATTCAGTCACATGCTGCTACTCACCGGCTCGGAATAAACTCCCCCTGGGTCAGTCTAAGCCTCATCCGGGCTGGAAAAGCTGCTGGAATGACGGATTTCACGCTTGGGCAGGCGTTGGAGCTGGTTTGGGTTTAATGCCGGAGGGAGGGATCCCACAGGGAATGTTTTGGTGCAGGAGAAGAAGCGGCGGCGGGAGGAGAACCTGAAGCGGCGCCTGGAAAACGAGCGGAAAGCAGAGATTGTCCAAGTGGTGAGTCCCAATCTGTCCCCTCTCCCGGGCAGGAACAGCACCGGGAATATCCCACAACGTCCAGACTCCATGGACCGCGCTCCAGCTCCTCTCCCTGGCTCTGTCTTTAAGGGAGCAGCCTGGGCTAGAGGATCCATAAGGATCCCCCTTACGGTCCCTTCCAACCCGAACCACTCCAGGATTCCATGAAATCCCCCCTCTTTTCCCCATTTTCCAGATCCGGAACCCCCTGAAGCTCAAGAGGGCCAAGAAGAAGCAGCTCCGGCGGGTGGAAAAGCGGGACACGCTGGCCCTGCTCCAGAAAACCCCTGTCCGGCGCGGCACAGCCACGGAATGAGGCGGGAATCGGGATCCTGCCGTGCCCAGGACGTGCGGCTGGGATTCCTATGGATCCTGCTCCCTTCTCCAGGGATGTTTTCCTTGGCTTGCAGGGCAGGAATTGCTGCTGGGACCCTCAGTGTTGAACAGACAACAGGACAGATGATCCACAGGAACCTGCTGGATCCCCATCCCCGTGGAATTGGGATGTTGCTGGAACAGAACTTTGCTTTCCCATCCCCGTGGAATTGGGATGTTGCTGGAACAGAACTTTGCTTTCCCAAATCTGCCTTTTCCCTATAAAAATGAACAGGAACTGAGACAGATTTGCCTCCAGTGGCTCCACCTGGGACCTTCCCTAAGGCATTCCTGGGATCGGAGTGTTTCATGGCCCTCCATTCTCTGAGGCTCCCCCTTCCCAAAGAGCAAATTCCCGCTGGGAATGAGCCTCAGAGCCAATCCCCAAGGAAGGGGACACATCCCTGAAGAGATGGGAGGGGGGCACACCTTCTTGACACCCTTTTTTGGGGGAGACAACACTGGGAATTTGTGGGGGATTGGAAGGGCTGGGAATTTGGGGGTGGGGGTGGAAGAAAGAGGCTCAGGGTGGGAAAATCATGTGGATTTCTTCACATTCCTGGTTTTTCTTGCTCCATGAACACCCTTTTCTGCATTCCTGGGGAGGAATGGGATAAAGAGACAATGGGGGGGGGGAACAAGAGGGGCACTGGGGTGGAAAACGGGACTACGGGAAGCAGTGGGAAGCCCTGGGATGGGTGGGAATGGGGGTCCCTGGAGCTTCATTCCGGGGTGACGATTTTGGGGACACACAAAACCTTGTGGCCCTGGGGGGAGCTGGCCTGGAGCCCTCCCGGGAATGGGAATGACAGGGGGTCCCACCCACGTCCAGGATCAAGGAAAAGGGAAAGGGAGGGAATCTGGTGGGAATCTGGCGGGAGTTGTGGGGCGTGGCACGTGCCAGCATGGCGTGAGGATATGGGCAGCCCTCTGCCCTCCTGCTTCCCGGGTTAATGATTTCCAAGGAATACTCAAATCCCAGCTTCTCCCTCTCCAGAGCCCACAGAGCCTTTGCCCGGCGGGGTAAGAGAGGGGGGAGCTGGGAGCCCGTGGCCTCGGGGCTTGCAGGGGCTGATTTCCTGGTGGGACGGATGTGGGAGAACACGGTGCCTCCTCCCAGGGCGGGACTGGGGCCAAATCCCCTTGTTCCGCATTCCCGGAGAGGCAACGGAGCGTTCCAGGGAGAATTCGGGACTGGGGGGCTCAGAGCCGCTGGAGCCCCGCCCCGCTCCGGCCCCCGGTGGGCACAGGAGGAGGAGAAGGAGAGGGGACAGTGGGTGTTGGGAATGCCGGGGCTGGGACACGTGGAAAAGGGGTGGTGCTGCTGCCTGGGCAAGTTTGGGGGCGCTGGAAGGTGGGGAGGGGGGGGCCTTGGGGCCCGCGGTGGGGATTAGGGGAAGGAGGGATGGGAAGTAGGGAAGTAGGGGATGGGGGCATGGAAGGAGGGGACAGGGACCAGGGAAGAAGGGATGAGATGAGGGGAGGGGACAGGAACCCGGGAAGGAGGGGACTGGGACTGGGGAAGGAGGGAGGTGGACCAGGAGGAGTGGACAAGGACTAGGGAAGGAGGGGATGGGATCCAGGGAGGGAGGGATGAGGACAGGGAAGGAGGGAGGGATGAGGACAGGGAAGGAGAGAGGGATGAGGACAGGGAAGGAGGGGACGTGGACAGAGAAGGAGGGATGAGATCCAGGGAGAGAGGGATAAGGACAGGGAAGGAGGGATGAGAATAGGGAAGGAGGGGACAAGGACAGGGAAGGAGAGGACGAGGATCAGAAAGGAGTGAGGGATGACAACAGGAAAGCAGGGAAGTGATCAGGGAAGCAGGGATGCCAGCAGGACTATCTGGACCGCAGACCTACCTCGCTGTGTCACGCCGTTATGCCCCGGGAGGATCCCTGGGGACACTCCCAGCCCCGGGAGGATCCCTGGGGACACTTCCAGCCTCCAGCCCCCTACCTCGGCAGGCAATCCCCACGGGATGCTCAGGCCAATCCCATTCCCAGGTGCAGCATGGTGGAGGTGACGGTGACGCCGCGGTCCTCGCTGGCTGACCGGCCGGTGCAGCTCCGGGTGCGGGGCCTGTCCCCGTCCCAGCTGGTCACCCTGCGCGCGTGGCTCAAGGACGAGCAGGGCGAGCGCTTCCAGTCCCGCGCCTTCTTCCGCGCCGACGGATCCGGAGAGGTGGATCCCGGGAGCCAGGCCGCGCTGGGGGGCAGCTACTCCGGCGTGTGGCCCATGGGGCTCTTCTGGTTCCTGCAGCCCGACACGCTTTTCCGCTGGCTGGTGAAGCGGGATGTGGCCGGGAGCCCCTTCCTGGTGCGGCTGGAAGTGTTCGATGGGGTCCAGCTGGGTGCGGAGCCGCAGGAGCGGCTGCTGGGATGGTGCGAGGCCGAGCGGTGGTACGTGGGGCCCGGAGTGCAGCGGGTGCCCGTCCGCCAGGGAAGGGTCCGAGGGGCCCTGTTCCTGCCTCCTGGTGAGCACCACGCAGCGGGGAGCCCGGGATGCATGGCCTCGGGACCCCTGGGATAACGAACAGCAGGACCCCCAGATGCTCAACCTCTGGACCCTTGGGATGCCCAGCCTTGGGATCCCTGGGATATCAAACATCAGGACCCCCAGTTACCCAGCCTTGGGATCCCGGGATATTGAACCTTGGGATCCCAGGATGCCCAGCCTTGGGAACCCCGGGATACTGAACCTTGGGATCCCAGGGATAACAAAGATCAGGACCCCCAGGATGCCAAACCTCGGGACCTCTGGGATACCAAACCTTGAGACCCCTGAGATGTCAAACCTCGGGACCCTGGGATGTCAAACCTCGGGACCCGCAGGATGCTCATTCTCAGGACCTGTGGGATGCGAAAACCTTGGGATCCCCGGGTTGCCAAACCTCAGGACCCCCAGGATGTCCAGCATTGGCACCCCTGGGATAACAAACATTGGGACCCCCAGGACGCCCAACCTCAGAACCCCTGGGATACCCAGCCTTGGGATCCCTGGGATAACAAACATCAGGACCTGCCCTCGGGACCCACGGAATGCCCAGTCTTGGGATCTCTGGAATGCCCAGCCTTGTGACACCCGGGATACTGAAACTTGTGACCCCTAGGATACCAAACCTCAGGACTCCTGGGATACCCAGCCTTGCACCCCAGGATGCCCAACGTTGTAATCCCGAGGATGCAGGACAGTGGCTCCTCGTCCCTGACATTCTCCGTCTTCCCGCAGGTCCAGGACCCTTCCCGGGGGTGATTGACATGTTTGGAGGCGCCGGGGGGCTGATCGATTTCCGGGCAGGACTCCTGGCCAGCCGGGGCTTTGCCGTGCTGGCCCTCGCCTTCTTCGCCTACGATGACCTGCCCCAAGTCCTGTCCCAGTTTGACCTGGAATACTTCGAGGAGGCGGCGGATTTCCTCCTCCGGCATCCCAAGGTGAGTCCTGGAGCATGGAGAGGAGAATCTGTGAGCCGGGATGTCCTGGGGCAACCTGGGCAGTGGGATGTCCATGTGACCAGGGATGTCCCAGGGATGTCCCAGGAACGTCCTGGGGACTGGGGGCATCCTGGTGAGCAGGACATCCCTGTGACCACGGATGTCCCAGGGATGTCCAGGTGACCAGGGATGTCCCAGGATTGTGTTGAACACCAGGGATATCCCAGGGGCTGGTGGCATCCCAAGTAACCAGGGCCATCCCAGTGATTTCCCAGGAATATCCCAGGGATGTTCAGGTGACCGGGGATGTCCCAGGATTGTGCTGAACACCAGGGATATCCCAGGGGCTGGTGGCATCCCAAGTAACCAGGGCCATCCCAGTGATTTCCCAGGAATATCCCAGGGATGTTCAGGTGACCGGGGATGTCCCAGGATTGTGCTGAACACCAGGGATATCCCAGGGGCTGGTGGCATCCCAGGTGACCAGGGCCATCCCAGTGATTTCCCAGGAATGTCCCAGCAACCAGGGATGTCCCAGTAATGCCCCAGGGGTTGTCCTGAGCACTGGGAATATCCCAGGGACCGAGGGCATCCCAGTGAGCAGGATGTCCAGGGGACCAGGGACATCCCACGAAGACATCCTTGTCCTGGTGCCCAGGGGTGTTCCACTGATGTCCCAGAGATGTCCTGGCAAGCGAGGAACATCCTGGCGACCGGGAACGTCCCAGTGAGGGTGTTCTCCCCACGGCTGGGAACACCCCGGTGCCATCCCACCCATCTCCCGTCTGGCTCCATGTCCCCCTCTCCAGGTGCGAGGCCCTGGCCTGGGCGTGGTGGGCGTCTCCAAGGGCGCGGAGGTGGCCCTGGCCCTGGCCAGCTTCCTGCCGCAGGTGGTGGCCACGGTGTGGATCAATGGCACGGCCTTTCTCCACGGCACCCCGCTGGTCTACAAGGACCTGCGCATCCCACCCATCCCCTACCGCGTGGAGCGCGTCCTCCTCACCGAGGCGGGAGCCTTGGACAACTCCGCCGTCTTCGCCGACCCCCGCGACCCCGCCTACCGCGCCTCGGCCATCCCAGTGGAGAATGTCCGCGGGAAGGTGCTGTTCGTGGTGGGAGAGGCCGACCGGAGCTTCAACAGCAAGCTGTTCGCCCAGCTGGCCCTGGCGCGGATGCCCCCGGAGAGCGGGCGGATCCTGTCGTATCCCGGCGCCGGGCACCTCATCGAGCCGCCCGGCTCCCCCCTGTGCAGCGTCTCCTGCATCCGCAGCTCCCCCCGGCCCGTGGTGTGGGGGGGGGAGCCCCAGCCCCACGCCCGCGCCCAGGAACACTCCTGGCACGAGATCGTCCGGTTCCTGGAGCAGCAGCTGGGCCCAGCCGCCACCACGAAACTGTGAGGGAGCGGGAGAGGGGGTCGGGAATACCGGGATTGGCGCCAACGGGAATAAAGCGGCACCTGCTGGATCCTGGTTGTGCTTCTGGGGGAGCTGTGTGGGACATATATGGGATATACGTAGGACATCTGTAGGACATATATAGGGCATGTATAGGATATATATACAGGATATAAAGAGGACACAGATGGACAGATACATATAGGATATATATGGACATATATATAGGATATAAAGAGGACACAGATGGACAGATATATATATGGGATATATATGGACATACATATATGATATATATGGACATACATATAGGATATAAAGAGGACACAGATGGACAGACATATATGGGATATATATGGACATATATATAGGATATAAAGAGGACACAGATGGACAGACCTATATGGGATATATATGGGATATATATGGACATATATATACATATAAAGAGGACACAGATGGACAGATATATATAGGATATATATGGGATATATATGGACATATATAGAGGATATATATGGGATATATATGGACATATATAGAGGATATAAAGAGGAGATGGATGTATATATAGGACATATATAGAACATATATAGGGCATCTATATTTAGGACACACACATAGATATAGGACAGAAATAGGACACATATATAGGATGTATAGAGAGTACATATAGGACATATATCAGACATTGGACATATATATATAATACATTTATCAGGCATAGGTCAGACATATATTGGATTTGTATAGGACACCTATCAGATATATGTTGGATAAATATAGGACACGTATCAGACACATCTAGAACATATATCGGCCATATACATCTGCCATCGCTTCCTGATGCGGTTTTAGGGGATCATATCCAGCCCCCCCAGTCCCACACACCTTCCCACCAGGATTCCAGTGCCTCTGGGAGCTGGCATGGTCCCATTCCCACCCCAGGGCAGGGAACAGGGAATGGCTGTGCCTGTCACTCTGGGAAGGGCCGGACGGTGACTTAGTTTAATCTGCAGTAAAGAGAAATCCCGGAAGGGAAAGTTCTGGAAAGGGAGGCAGAGGGAACACACAAAGTGCCCCACGGAGGATTTTGCATTCCTTGTGGCACTGCCAGTGGCAAATTCCCAGTCCTAGTGCCCTGGAGCCCACCGGGGCTGTGCCACCGTGTCCCCCAACCCCTGTGCAGGATCCCAGTCCCACGGGAACGGCATGTCCAGATGTTACTGTGGCAAGCAGGAATCAGGGCACACGCTACCTTTTCTTCCCTCCTGGATCGAGCTGGGCATCCACCGGGAGAGTTTTCCAAGCGTGGGATAAGCTCGGTTTGTCCCGGGTCACCGTGACACGGCCACGGGAGGTGACCACGGGGCCAGGGCACTGAGGTTGCCATCGGCACGGGAGCGAGGAGCCCTGGGCAGAGCTCATCCCACCCGGTCAGCTGATCCCCTCTGGATATAAATCCGTGTGGGAAAGCCCCGTGTGCCGCCCGGTTCACACCACCATGGGACGGAGCTGCTCCTTCCTCCTGCTCCTCTTCCTCCTGGCCCTGTGGCCCAGGGCCACCGTGTCGTTCCTGCGGCACCGCTACACCTGCGGAGAGCTGGGAATGCAGCTCCTGGTATTCCCGTCCCACGGCCGCTCCGTCCGCTTCAAGGTCCTGGGTGAGTGTGGGATGAACCCCTGGACCCCCTTGGGGTGCTGGATCCCTGAAACCCGAGATTTTCCATGGGATAAACCCAATGGATTGAACGAGGGGCAGGTGCTGCTCGGGGGGGGAGGGGATCTGTGCGCCCGCCACCCTCAGGAGCATCCCGGCACCCGGATGTGTCACTTCCCTGTGTCCATGGTGTCCCACCAGACGAGTTTGGGACCCGCTTTGACGTGGCCAACTGCTCCATCTGCCTCCACCGGCTCAACTCCGGGGAGGATGGATCTGTCATCTTCTCCTCCGGATACAAGGGCTGCCACGTCCTGCTCCAGGTGACATTCCCACCCCTTCCCCTGCCCCTTCCTGCTCCAGGTGACATTGCCATCCCTTCCCCTGCCCCTTCCCGGTGGGATGGAGGTGACTATCCCTCATATCCCACTGCAGGGGAACCGCTACGTCCTGAGGGTGCAGCTGGAGGAGCTGCTTCCCAGCGGGATCCTGCTCACCTCCTCCGAGGTCAACATCACCTGCCCGAAGCCGGGTGGCTACGAGACGCTCCCGGACAGCATCCCGGAGCGGGGCCGGGATAGCGGAATCCTGGTCTCCCACACTGGTCTCCAGCACCATGTCTCCCAGTCCTCCCTCACCCTGACAGGATCCCACACCCACTCGGAGCAGCTTCACACTGTGGCACAGAATGGGCCCAGCTCGGTGCTTCCCGGGATTCCACCCCAGTCCAACCCAGTTCGCCCAGGGCTTCCGTCCGAGTCTACTGGGATTCATCCCATCTCCAATATCCAGGGAGGCTTCAATCACCCGGGAGTGCAGCCCCTCCGCCCTGGGGGTCAGACCCAGCCAGGGCTTGGCCCAGGGCTTGACCCAGGGCTTGTATCCCAAAATCCTCCCAGTTGGAGGCTTCCTGGGGGTCAAACTTGGCCAGGCCTTCGCCCAGAGTTTGTATCCCAAAACTCTCCCAGTTGGGTGAATCCCGGGAGTCAGACTCAACCAGGGCTTCGCCCGGGGTTTGTGTCCCCAAACCACCCCAGTTCGGTGAATCTCTGGGGTCAAAATCAACTTCGTCCAGGGCCTGTATCCCAAAATTCTCCCAGTCTGGTGCATCCCGGGAGTCAGACCCAGCCAGGGCCTCGCCCAGGGTCTGCATCCCAAAATTCTCCCAGTTCAGTGTATTCTGGGAATCAAAATCAACCAGGCCTTCGTCCAGGGTTTGTATTCCCAAATCCTCCCAGTTCGGTGCATCCCGGGAGTCAGACCCAGCCAGGGCCTCGCCCAGGGTCTGCATCCCAAAATTCTCCCAGTTCAGTGTATTCTGGGAATCAAAATCAACCAGGCCTTCGTCCAGGGTTTGTATTCCAAAATCCTCCCAGTTCGGTGCATCCCGGGAGTCAGACCCAGCCAGGGCCTCGCCCAGGGTCTGCATCCCAAAACTCACCTGGCTTGACCCCTGCTGGTGCTCACCCTCCAGCAGGATTCCTGCGCCCAGGATCTCAGCTCCCAAACCAGCCAGGAATGGCTCAGCCCGGTTTTCTTTCCGGCTCCCAAACTGCGCTCCCGAGCCACACTGGGCTGATCCATCCCGGCCATCCCAGTCCGGCTTTAGTGCGCCCGGGACTCTCATCCTGGTCGGGTTTGATCAGCCCTGGACTCCAGCCTGGATTGCTGCATCCTGGGATCCACAATCCGCTCCAGCCCACGGCACTCTTCTACCCTTCGGGAGGGGCAGGTATGGCGGAAAAGCGGGATGAAGGGATGCAGCCCTGGATCTGAGGCTGGACCAGGGGCTGGGATAAGAGGAACTGGCCTCAAGTTGTGCCAGGGGGAGGTTTGGGTTGGATATCAGGGAAAATTTTCCATGATAAGGGTTGTGCAGTCCTGGACAGCACACCTGGAAGCGTCCCAAAAACACGTGGCTGTGGCACTTGGGGATGTGGTGGCCTCGGCATTCCTGCGGGAACGGTTGGACTCCGTGACCTTAGAGGGCTTTTCCAACCCAACAATTCCAGGATTCGCCAGGGGGACTTTGTGACGGGGGAGTTCCCGAGGAGGAGTTCTGATCTCTTCCCACCCTCAGGAATGCAGCTGACGCGGGAGCAGTGCCAGGTGCCGGTGGGCCGGATGCCGTGCGTGGCTCCGCAGGGACGGGACGGGTGCATCCAGGCGGGATGCTGCTATGACGACACGGATCGTGCCACGCCCTGCTACTACGGGAACACGGGTAGGGCGCTCGGGGAGGGGCATCCCGGGAATCCCCTGGGCACTAGGGTGATGGAATGTCTCCGTGGTGCCGCAGCCACCGTGCAGTGCCTGCGGGAGGGGCAGTTTATCCTGGTGGTCCCGCGGGGAATGGCCGTGCAGCCCTACAACCTGGACAGCGTCCGGCTGGCCGGCAGCCAGGCGGGGTGTGAGCCCTTCCGCGTCACCGAGAGCTCCGTCATGTTCCGCTTCCCAGTCACGCACTGCGGGACCACCGTGCAGGTACCGGGAGACCCCCGGAGCGCCCCCGGGGAAGGGAGAGGGCCGGGAAATACTCGGGACAAAGAGCTCACCCAGCCTCCACCTCGTGCCTCAGTCCCTGACCCATTTATCCCTCTGGATGCTCCCAGCTCCATAACCCAACCTCAGGGCAAAGAATTCACCCGCACTCTGCCTCGTGCCTCAAACCCTCATCCATGAATCCCCTGGAATGCTCACAGCTCGTTTCCATGTTTTTCTCTAAAACCCATGTCAGGATAAGGAATTCAACTATTCTCTGCCTCATGCCTCAAACCCTGATCCATTTGAACTCCAAGATGCTCCCAACTCCAAAAGGCTCTTCAGGATAAAGAGCTTTGTGCCTCAAACCCCGATCCATGTATCCCCCAGGATGCTCCCAGCTCCATAACCCACTTCAGGATAAAGAGCTCACCCTGATCCATGTATCCCCCGGGATGCTCCCAGCTCCATAACCCACTTCAGGATAAAGACCTCATCCACACACTACCTCCTGTCTCAGAGCCTGATCCGTGGATCCCCCAGGATGTTCCCTGTTCCTATGTCCCCTCCAGGTGATCGAGGACCGGCTGATCTACGAGAACCAGCTGATCTCCACCATCGATGTCCAGGGATCCTCCCGCGGCTTCGTCACCCGGGACAGCGTCTACATGTAAGGGAAAGGCGGGAAAAGCCGGACACAGAGCCAGGATTCCCCTTTGGAAAGCCCGTCCTGCCCTCCCACCCCGGGATCAACCCAATCCTCGCTCCTGCCAAATTCCCAGCTTTCCCCCCCCAGTTTGGGCTGGGAGAGGTGATGCCGGAAGGGGCAGATGGAGGATTTGGGAGTCTTCCAACTTCCTCTGCCCCTTCCCAGTCTCCAGGCTCGGTGCATCTACAATGCCAGCGACCTCCTTCCCTTGGGAATGGAGGTGGCTGTGCCCCCCACGGCCGCTCCGTTGGCAATGCCGGGACCGCTGGGGCTCGAGCTCCGGATTGCCACCGGTGAGCGATTCCCGGCTTCCCACCCCGCTCCCAACCCCGCTCCCCATCCCGCTCAACCCCTCCCAACATTCCCACAGATGAATCCTACAGCTCCTACCACCCCGTGGGCGACTTCCCCTTGGTCAGGGTGCTCCGGGACCCCATTTTCGTGGAAGTCCGGCTGCTCCAGAAGACGGATCCCAACCTGGTGCTGGTGCTCCACCAGTGCTGGGCCTCTCCCGGCTCCAGCGCCGCCTCCCAGCCCCAGTGGCCCATCCTGGTGGACGGGTGAGTGGAGTGGGACGGGGGGATGGAGGTGAGGGTGGATGGATGGTGCCCACGGAGGGTCTTTGTTGCCTGTCCAGGTGTCCCTTCCAGGGGGACAATTACCGGACACGGATGGTGCCGGTGGGTCCGGCCTCTCCGGAGCTGCCATTCCCAAGCCACTACCAGCGGTTTGTCATCTCCACCTTCACCTTTGTGGAGCCTCCTGGGATGGCCGTGATGGAGGGAGAGGTGGGTTGTGCATTTGGGGCGTCCCAGTGTTGGGAATCCCTCATCCCAAATCCATCCCAGCTCCGAACTCCTCTTGTTGGTGCTTCCTCAAGGCTGAGAGTCCCTTTATGGGGCTTCCCCAAAGCCTGAATCTGTTTTTTGGGGGTCTCCTCAAGTCCTGGACCCCCTTTTTGGGGGTCTCCCTGAGTCCTGGAGCCCCTTTCCAGGGGTCTCCAGCTGATCCCAGCCCACCTATGTTTCCCAGGTGTACATTTCCTGCAGTGCCTCCGTGTGCCACCTGGCCCAGCCGGAGCCGTGCCGCCCCTCCTGCCAGCTGGGAGCAACCTCACGTAAGTCCGGGAGCTTCCTGGGATTTAGTGGTCCCTCTGTGTGCCCCCATTTTCCCACCCCAACACTCTGTTCCCACCAGGAGCGCGTCGGTCTCCGGGGAACAGCAGGATGGGCGATGGAATGGGAACAGTCACATCCCAGGGATGCGTTGTCTTTCCCAAGGTTTCCAAGAGAGGGAAACCCCTTCATCCCTAAACAACCTTTCATCCCTCTAACTCATTTCCTCTTCACAGCTCCTGCCTCCACCCAACACTGCTGGATTTCTCTGGGAAAGCTGGAAAAATAAACCAGTGCAAATCACAGCTCTAGGGGTGGTTTATCCTGGGAGTGAGAAGAAAGGGGATCCTTTATCCCTATTCCCAAGCTGGAAACACCCCCAGCCCCCCAAATCCTATGCTGCTACCCACCAAACCCTTTACAGGAGCGGAATCCTTTCCCAATGGGATGACAGGGAATAATCCTTTATTTCCATACTGAAACTAAGTAACTGCATACAAAAACCTGCACGTTCCTTCCCTCCCTCCGCGCATCCCAGCCTCCAAATTCCAGGAGCGCAAGGACTGGGGAGGGGTGGGGGTTCACATCAGTTACAAGCACAAAAAAATTCTAAAGGCGGAAAACACAATGAATCAGGGGGAAAAAAGAAACCCTAAACAGCAAATTCACGGAGTGCGGGGAAGACAACGCCCGACTTCCCCCTTGCACTAACAGCTACAACAGGGGATCTTGATAATCCCACCGGGGTATTCCCACTTGGATAATCCCATACAGATATTCCCACCCCCCTCCCACCCCAATCCCAGCAGGATCCTGGGATTACAGGCTGTAGAACTTGAGGCTCCGGTCCATCCCCGTGGACGCGATGAACTTGGCGTGGTGGCCAAAGGCCACTCCCGTGGTCAGGCCACTGTGCTCTGGGGGGTGGAAAACATTCCCAGGTGGAAAACATTCATGGCTCCCTGGTTCCCACGGATCCCAGCCCACCTCCAGCACCCCAACCCCCTCACCTGTGAAGTGCAGGATCTCCGTCCACTGCTTGCAGATGTAGATCTGGACATCGGTCCCGCCCAGCGCCAGGTAGGTCCCGCTCTGGTCGAAAATCAGGGATTTCACCTGTGGAGGAGAAGCGGAACGAGGCGTTGGGAAAGCTCCCAAAGCATTTTTGGGACGCTGGCCCCATTTTGGAGGGGGGGAAGGTGCTATCACACACACACACACACACACACACACCCCCACACCCACCTCAAAGTTGTTGTCCAGCTGCAGCGTCTTGAAGTTCTTGAGCTTCCGCAGATCCCAGAGTTTGACGGAGGAGTCGTCGGCGGCTGTGGCCAGGTAATATCCGTTCTCGGAGAAGGCGATGCTGGTGATGGGCCCGGAGTGCCCCGGGAAGTTGGCCACGTTGGTGCGTTCCTAGGGATGAGGGGGTTGGTTAGACAGGGAATCACAGTGCGGGAACGTGCCATCGTTCCGCTCTGGAGTTAAGGGAATGAACGGATCTTCTCGGGACAACCCCAACCATGGTTACAGTGTCACCACTGAAATTGGGCATTTTCGAAGGAAACTTCCTAAAACGTTCCCCAAAGTCCCACTCCTTGGACTCCCCCATATTCCCATCAAGGCCAGCCCTACCTTCAGATCCCAGATCTTGATTTGCGAATCCATCGTTCCCGTCCCAAAAATGAGCCCGTCCGGGTGGAACTGGGCACAGGTGAGAGCTGGAGAGACACGGGGACACTCGGGGTTGGGAATAATCAGGAGCGTTGGGAAGACTCAGGGACAGCAAGACCCCTCCCCCCCAAACGAGTTGTCCAGAGCTCCAGAAGCCCAGAGACCCCCGGGATGGGGATACTCATCCCTAATCCTTACCACAGCCAGAGCTCTCATCCGTCACCTTGGTGAGGACACGGCCTGTCTGGATATCCGAGAAAGCCCAGTACTGGGAAAAAGACAGGAGAAGCATTGGCTCCAGAGCAGTGGGAAGCATGGGTGGGATCCGTGGGATGGGATGGGATGTGTCCCACCTGGTCATCCGAGGAGCTGAGCAGGTAATCTCCGGTGGCGTGGAGGCTGAGCCCGGTCACGGAGCCCTCGTGGGCACGGACCACCTGGACACAGGAGGCGTTGGGAACGGACCAGATCCGGATCGTGGCGTCGGGAGAAGCCGAGAACACCAGCTCCTAAACGGGGACCATGTGGGAAGGTTAACGCGGGTAGGATTCACCTCCCCCAGAGCTCCCAGCTGGAGATTCCGGAGAAAAAGGGTCCCGAAATGCAAACTTGAGGAATCCTGGCCGTGAGGGGAGAGGCTGCAGGCACCTGGGATGGGTGGAAGACAACGCTGGTGACCTTCTTGGTGTGTCCCTTGAGCGTGGCCAGGATCTGCTCCGAGCTCTTGTCGAACACGATGACGTTTTTATCCGCCCCACCTGGAGAACCAAGCGGGAAGCGCTGGGATGGGAGTGTGGAGCCAACAACTCCAAATCCACCCGCTTTTCCTGGAAAATCCCACCCTCAGCAGCTTTGCCGTGAGGGGAGGGAGTCCTTCACCCCGTTGTCCCATCCTGCATTCCCAAAAGCAGAGAGATCCCATCCCAGGCAGCCGCATTCCTGCCTTACCGGTGAGGATCTTGTTGGTGTCGGAAGGACACAGATCCAAGGCCAGAATTCCCGGGATGCTGGCGCTGTGCAGCCCCTGTGCGAGGCAGGAGACCCCCAGATTAAATACCACAAGCAGGAAAACACTCCCAGAAGGAATCCAGAAACCTCAAGGGATTCCCAGCTCCTGGTTTTCCAGCCTTTTCCCATCCTGGCACTCACCACGTGGGAGGCGACCTGCCGGTACTTGCTGAGCTCCTCCGGCTTCACCAGCTCCTCGGGGACGGTCTTGCCCCTCTGGAAAACAGGGATAAACATCAGCCTCTCTTGGAGCACAGCATATTCTGGCTCCCATGGAATGTCTGGATGAGGTCACTCACCTTCTTACGCTCCGTGGTCAGCACCGTGGCCTTGTCTTGGAGCTGGAAAACAAGGGGAGGGTTGGTTGGCACAGGTCGGGAATTCCACGGGAGAACAGGACACACGGAGCAGCCCTTACCTTCTGGATGATCTCCGGGGTCATTCCCGCCAGCTCTCCCAAATCCATGGCCTCCCCGGTGCCCTGGGTGGGACACAGAAACAGGGGTGGAGGGGGACACCCAGAGGAGGGATTTGGCAGCTGGAACAAGCGGGAAAGGGGTCGGGAACGACCGGGCTGGGGAGCAGGGACTCACCGCCACGTTGGGCTGCGCCGACGGCACCGCCTGGGGCACGATGAGCCCGGCCTGGGGCTTCAGGGTGGCCAGAGCTGCGGGAACACCGTGAGTTGGGGCGGGGGGAGCGGGCACAGAGCCGTTCCCAGTGCCCCTCCCCAGTTCCCACGGGACGGGGGGACTCACCTTCCCTGGCGGCCGTGACCTCCTTGGTGAGGCGGGCGATGACGCGGCAGGCGGCGTCGTGCTGGTACAGCGCGTGGGACAGCTCCTGGCGCGTGGTCTGCAGCTGCTGCCGCAGCGTGAAGCTGTGCAGCATCACGGCGTCCTGCGGGGTGGGACGGGGTCAGCCGGTGGGGGGGACGTGCCATCCCACCCCACAGCCCACCGGAAACGGACCCACGGCTTACCCACTCGTCCTGCAGCGCCTTCAGGATGGCCGGGATGCTGGTGGCCGAGGGAGGCTTGGGGCGGATCGGGTGGGCAACTGGCAAGGAAAGGGGTCCTCCGTGTCCTCAGGAGCCCTTTGGATCTCTGTGCTCCATTCCCACCTTCCCAGACTCCCCCATCCCTCAGGAAAACCATTCCCAGTGCCACGAGCCACACTGGGCAACTGGCAAGGAAAGGGGTCATCCATGTCCTCAGGACCCCTTTGGATCCCTGAGCTCCCTTCCCACCTTCCCAGACTCCCCCATTCCTCAGGAAAACCTTTCCCAGCCCCATGAGCCACGCTGGGCAACTGGCAAGCAAAGGGATCATCTCTGTCCTCAGGATCCCTTTGGATCCCTGTGCTCCATTCCCACTTCCCCAGACTCCCCCATCCCTCAGGAAAACCTGTCCCAGCCCCACAAGCCACACTGGGCAACTGGCAAGGAAAGGGGGTCATCTCTGTCCTCAGGGTCTCTTTGGATCCCTGTGCTCGAACCTCATCTCACCAAATCTCCCATCCCTCAGGAAAACCTTTTCCCATCTCCCAAGCCACGCTGGGCAATGGGCGAGGAAAAGGGTCATTCCTGTCCTCAGCTCCATTCCCACCTCCCCAAACTCCCACATCCCTCAGGAAAACCCTTCCCAGCGCCACGAGCCACACTGGGCAACCGGCAAAGAAAGGGGTCATCCATGTCCTCAGGATCCCTGCGCTCCAATCCCACCTCGCCAAATCTCCCATCCCTCGGGAAATCCCCTCCCACCCCCGATTCCCAGGCAGTTCCCAGGCGGGGCTGGCGTTGCCGGGCACCTTTGATGTCGATGAGCTGCTCCTCGGCCAGGGGCTGGTTGTTGACGGGGTCGGTGCCGTTCTCGGCGATGTACTTCTCGATCAGCCGCCGCTCATACACATGGTTGGACACGGGCGACACGCACGGGTGCTCCGGCACCTCGTTGGAGACTGGGGGCCACGGGAATGGGGGTCAGGGCCCTGGGGGACCCTGCCTGCCCCAGAGCCCGGGAATCCCCTCTCCGGTGACTCTGCTAGGCCGGGAAAATCCCACCCGCTGACCCCACAGACTCGTGACACCCCGTCCCAGTGACCCCCCGGCCATGAACCCTGCAAATGAGGGACCCCATAAACTGCTCACCCCTGTCCCAGTGACTCCCCTCCCAGCAACACTCGAGCCTGGGAACCCCCTGCCCAGTGACTCCTGGCGTGGGAACCCCATAAACCGGTGACCCCCAGCCTGGGAACTTCATAAACCAGTGATCCCCTGCCCGGGAACCCCATAAACTGGTGATCCCCCTCCAGTGACCCCATAAACTGCTCACCCCTCTCC